ACCTTCGCTAACTTAACCAAGTGGCCACTCTTCACAAGCGAACACAACTTGTGAGTTATCGGCAGGTTACTCCACCGTGAACTGCACAACTGAGGCTGATCCCATAATTTGCTGCATTTTCAAGCCATGATCAGGCGCAAGAAGTCTAACTAATGAGTTGATCATTCGCCTCATATTAAAAATAACAATAATAATCTTTGCATTTGATACAGCGCCTTATCAAATCTTCGAGACCTCTCAAAGCGCTTCACTGTAAAGTGAATTGACTGTATACCTTCTGTGGCTACTTGTGGAACTTTTCTGTGGGCAAATTGGCTACCCCTTGAGCCGGGCCAAAAAAAAAATGGCACATTCACGACGGGTGACAGTAATTACTGAGAAACTCTTTGAGACATTTCAACAGTTATAGGCGTTTCTTTCAAGAACTTTACTGTCAATGCACCACGGTGAACCGAGCGAGCAATTGAGGAAGCCATTATTGGAATGGTGCCTCAGTAAAGTTACAAAGAATTATGGCCTGACAAGAAAGGAAACTAGCTGAAACAGGTCCCTCCCTCCAATAAATGAGCACCAATAAAAATAATCACCCATACAGGAGTTAATCAGCCTTTCCTGACATTCGGTTAAATTCAGGGGGACAGGATAACTTGCATTCAAGATAATGTTTGTTTTGTTTAAAGAACTGATTCTTAAAAGTTAAACACAAGTGAAGACTCTGACTGGGAAGAGAGGAACAGGAATAATCGCTTAACATTTCTTCACGGGTCCTGACATTGTTGAAAATAAAATAAATAACCAAACGGTACTTTGCGAAGAAAAAAAAAGACTGCACTGCATTAAAGAGTGCTGTGTCTACATGTTTTAATACTTCGAACGTATAGTCTAGTCTACATATCTGAGCCAAGACATTCTCGCTCTTTAAAGCATGGATTAATAAGAGGCTATTTGCAGGTTATAAAGTATAAATCCCTTCACTACTTTTCAAACAGTGCACCAAACCAGAAGACAGCAGAAAGAAGTTAAACATTTCCAGGTCACCCTTGTGTCAACTTGTATATAACTTTATGCTTTATCTCTCGCTCCGTGACTCCCTTTGGACCAGTGTCCATTAAAGATGTGCATTTGTTTCAACAAACACAAAAGTCACAAAGGCATAGCGATATTCCAAACCATATCTTGTAATAAATAAGCACATCGGCAGAGCTCGCATCAAGCAGTTAAGTGAATTAGCAAGGAATCTTCCGCGACCAGGGTCAAGTAAAAGAGTATTTTTAGTTTAATTTACGAGAGGATTGTCACTGGAGTGTAAACATTCTGCTGAGTCAGCCTGTGGAGGAGTGCTCAATAACATCAGGGACCCTTTACTGAAACACTGTCCCTATTAAGCCTGATATTTACCAGGCTTCACTGGCTCCAATAGAAATAATCTGAAGTCATCTGGCTGCAGCCAGGTATCCAGTAATTCAAGTTAAACTTTCAAAATCAGCGCACACCACCTGAGAAATAATTGCACTTTTTTAAAGAAACCGCTTTGCAGAATTGCGAGAGCTGCCACAAATACACGGAGGTGGACTCGGAATTCAATCACCGTGATAATACGAGTGAGGCGCGCGGGATCCCATCTGTAGAAGCGGAGGGGTTTGGGACAGAGTCCCAGAGAGTGGGGGTGTAATGGTTATTTAATGGATGACAGCACAGCCCCCGTTGCTGGGTTGCTGTGCCCCAGGTGTGGGTTTGCAGAGTGGAGTTGAGTGGGCAAGAGAGCGGGAAAGGGGTAGATTGTTGCCAAGGCAGGGTGGGCGAGGCAGCGGAGGAACTTGAAGATCACAGAGAGAGAGAAGAGAGAGAGAGAGTTCCTTGACGTCAGCCCACTGAGGGACAGGCCATCCGAGGGGAAGATGGGGGTGATAGGTACCCAGAGCCTGCTCCTGGAGGGGAATGTGCCAAGGGAGTTGTGGATGAGCTGGTGGTTGAGGAAGGTTGATCTAGGGAGATCGGTGAGGAGCATGTTAGATGCGTCTGAAGATAATAAAGGTTTCAGCTAAATTGGTAGCGAGGTAGGGGAAAGAGGCAGGCAATGATCCCGAGCTGGAAAAAAGCTGCCTTGGTCAGGGATCAGATATAGATAAGGTTTGAAAGAGATTTGAGAGTCAAACAAAACAGCAAAAGTGGTTCATTAGCTCAATGAGCTGCAGTGAGCAACCAGGGAGGTTGACAGAGTTAGAGTCCGAGGCCCGGAGTATTAAGGAAGTTAAGGTTCATCCAACGATTTGATGCCTGACAGTCGGTGAATTCAACCGTCGTCCCATTTCTTCACAAGAAATACGTAGAGATCGCATTTCTTAACAAGTTTCTCAATAAGAAATGTTTCATTATCAAATTTCTAAAACATCTTTTCTCAAAGATTTGAAAATTGGAAATTAACCAATAAAATTCCTGTTACAAGTCTTGTCAGATTGTTAGTGTTAAAACACCTATATTAGCCTTTCTAGCAGACTGCAGATTTATGGTGTGAGACAATTTTAAATAGAGTTGTGAATTCTCTCGTGGTGATAAGTCGAGCAAAAGCTCTGCGTTATATTTTTTCTGAGCAATTGAACAAGGTAGCAATCCCAGTGAAAGCAGTCAATTAGCTGTAATTCCCTTCCCCTCCTTGCTTCTGAAAGAAACAATAAATATTCCTAAATGATCCTTATATTTGATAGAGCACCTTTCCTGTCGGGAGAATGTCTCAAAGCTCTTCACAGCATATACTGTAAAGTGTAGTGACTTGTGTATGTTGTAGGCGAGTGCAAAATTTGTGTGTTTTCAAGTCCGGATGCGCGTGTGTGTGTGTGTGTGTGTGGGTGTTTCGTGTGAAAGTCTGAGCAGCAATGGAACCAATGCAATTGGTTTTAGAATAGACAGGAGAAATACATTTTCCAGGCTTCCGATTTCTGAACGACATATGAGTATATCAACTCCTGCCAGAATGAACGCGGATATGGGCTGAAGTGGCTCTGAAGAGGTGTGCCCCCTGTAGACATGTGCGCCGCCAAGTCTGGGGGGTCCACAGTCATCCATGGCATTGTTAATGGTTGACTCTATCTATGTCAGGGTTTCATACGAATTAGAGGTGAAGACACGTTCGCAATTGTGCAAGCCCAAATCCGGGTACTGTGATCTTAACTGGAAAGGTACCATATGTTTTAGAAATTGATCTTAACTGGAAAGGTACTCACTCGTGTTTTATATGAGTTACACTTTTTCTATTATTTATATGACGTGCACATAAAACGTATTGGGGAGTGCGTTGGAAAATAGACCATTAAAACGAAGCAAAAATAGATGGCAGACCCGTATCGTATCACAGTTGGGTACCTCCAGATAACTCTTGACAGGGGCTGAATATTGGAAAAATTGGTCAAGAAAACAGAACTCTTTGCAAACCAGTGAACTATGAAAAAGAAATGCAGCTTTCATAAATAGGTTCTCAGCCAATTTCCATTCCTTCGAGGAGAAAAAGAGTCAGAAGAAAAAATGCATTGTTTTTGTCACATGTAAATGACATTATCCTGCTGTGTGTTTACAGACCCAACCTATCCATGAATCTGTGCCGCTTTGAGGTAATATCGAAATGGTCCTGTCTGCGTTTCGAGCGTGGCAAACAGGGTGGCAAGTGTGATCTGTGTCAACACAAACACATTTATCTTAGTCTTCCCTGCAGTAGCAACTCCATGGAGCCTCGCCTAGAAATAATCAGGGCGTCTCCAAGGGTGGGCTGAATCCTGGTTTCTCTCCTTTAAACAATAGCGCTAGCAATCTCACACAATACACAACAGCTGGAAGGCAGTGTTACTGAAATGGAAAGAATGTAAAATCATTTTCTTTTCTCTAAAAAAAATAAAAAAAACGTGTGTGGGCTCCTGTTCCCCCAGGGCACCAGCTCTTCAGTTAGAACAAGCACAAGTGTTCTGAGACGTTTGGTTAAATAGCGTTCCAATGCCTGTCTGACTTTCCTCTGGCATCGACTCCGAACAAAGTCTCAGACCACAACAAAAGCTCCGGTTATTTTCTAATCAAGTTTACAACATGCTGGCTGGCGGGCCGGCTGGCTGGCTGTCTATCTGGCGGACCGGTGGGTGGGCGCAAGGGTGGATGGGATGGAAAGGCACAGAAGACAAAACCCGTGCCAGGTTTGTGGTAAAAGTGAAAGCCAAGCTAAACGGAACTACAGTGCTCACGTCTAACAAATCAGAAATGCATTAGCCCCGGCAGCAAAGTCGCTGCCATCATCCCTGCAGAAATCTGCTAGACCAATAATCATTTTTCCCTGTGTTATGGCATGCAGCTGACAAGAACTGTTCACAAATGAGTCCTTGTGGATGAGAAACGCGGTAGCCAAGTGACTGCAGGGTGATCGATTGGTGGTTTGTTTACTGAAACATATCCTCACTGACATTAGCCAGAACATTGGAAACGAGCAGAGAGCAGCAGCACCACAGCTGTCACAGTGCCCCGCGAGCTCTCTCGGCCCGACTTCTAATAGCCGCAGTTGTAGCCCAGCGTTGCCTCGACGTAAACAATGCGATCCAATTAACACTCTGTGAGTGAGGCCTGGCAGGTGTAAGATGAGCACAGATGCAATGCCCAAACCTAAAAGATGTCATGTTCGTTCATGCCTTCACAGACACACGTGTCCCGCAAAAAAAAAAGTGTGCTTTCTTCTGCCGGCATCATCAGCGGGACGGAGAATTTGAAGAATTCCTAATTGTGCACGTCACCACAATTGTATTTAAAATGTCATTAATTTCTCCCGATTGTTTTAACCTTTAACCATTGTATAATTCCTTAAGGCCGTAGTTAAAATAGGTCTGTGCTGCTCTACACGCAATATATTCCTGTAGGTAAACAGCTTTCTATTTTGAGTCACAATCTGGGAAAGTTTTCTTCCAGACATTTATTTTCACAATGAGTTTTTCTGGCATTATAACGCTGTAGAAAGCAACGCGGACAAGAGATTTCTTCGACAGATGTTTGTTCGCTTTATTTGGTCAATAATACTTAGCAGAAATCACAAGGCCACATGCCAAAAGTTGTACTGAGATCCTTGCCTTTACAAATGCGCATTCACTATACTTGACAGCAATTACTCGTGAAGTAGCCTACACATTACAATGTATATCAAATGCAAGGATTATCGGTTAAGGGGCACATTCTGCCCCCACCCCCACACACACCCCCATTGCTATATCAAAATAGCACTCAAACATTGTCAAATATGCTTCCTCACTGAGAATCACCATTTTGGGTCTCTTTCCTCCCCTCTCTCAGGCACTTTGGTGAGGTTAGTTATGGAACGAACCACATGTGTTCACTGGAAAATTTGCTGCACTTTGCACTGGCATGGGGCCTGACCCAGAGCCATCTGACCCCCTAAGAAAAACACATTACCAGTTGGGTGCTGCTGCAAACTCAACCAGCGACAAGCTTCCCAGGGTCGGACAAGTCTGGCTTGGCTCCCAGGCCGGTTGGTCCAAAGCGTTCCTTGCGGGAGAAGTTGCGTGGTAGGAGCCTAGCCTTTTATGGCTGGGTGCTTCCTTTAAAGGATTTTTTTTAAGGCCGTGAAGCAGATGGTGAAGTGCGCACCCCATCACCCATTCAACATGGGTCCCAGGTTTGAATTGCACCCAAGACTGATGGGATGACAGTCTCTCTTTTTTAGTCAGCTGTGAATTCAGTTTAAGCTGAATTTTTGGAGAGTTTTATACTGTGTGGTTGCACCCACTAGGATGGGATGTTTCATTGATCAAGGGAGAGATTTGGGACAAGAACAAGATCCTTCAGCCAAATTGGTCTCTTCCACCATCATCCCAGCTACAAGTTGTTAAATATAGTGCATCATTCTGGACTCAACACCCCTCCCTGCCAAATCCTAGTCCAGCTGTTGATCACCTTCAGTGGCTTCACATTACAGCAATAAAGGATGTTCTTTGAGGTTGAAAGAGATTGGAGGTCAGTTTGTTGCATCCATGAATGGACCTCGAGTGACTGAGGTTGGCACTGAGTGGGACGGGTTCCTTTTCCCAGAGGTGATTGACGTAGACACAACTCTACTACCCTTTACAAAAAAAAACCTTTATCGCACAGTACAAGAGGTTAATTCCTTTCCTGGCTTTACTTTTGTTGTCATGTGCAGCTTTTATTTCAAAATCGGATTAAGAAAAAAGCTATCAGCACGTCATCTGCCTCATACACAGACTGTATCAAAAATGTTGTGGCGATACGTACAGCCCTTGATATAAAAATAAAGCACGGCAGCAAATAGTTAAAGCCAGAAACACTCGCACTTGCTTTCGTTGGCACCACCCAGTAGATGGAAGGCTGAGTGCTTCACGTAATTCCGACTTCACAAGTAGTTTATTTCTCCCCGCAAACGACGACCAGCAGTAGGTCAAGGAAGAAATAAACTCCCGGGATTAATTGACTTTCAGGAGTCAGCACACGCCGTGTCATTTTCAAATTTTTTAAAAAAAAATAATAATAATTTGGTCACTTCAATCCACGACTGTTTGGGGGACGCTGCTGTGCGCAATTGGCTGCCGGGTTTCACCCACAAAATATAGTCTATTCACTATCTTCTGTGAAGCGTTTCGAGACGTCTCGAAGAAGTGAAAAGGCGCTATATCAAATGCAAGGATCATTTATGATCATTATTAATATTATATTTAGGTAAAGGACAGGCAATGCACTGTACAATCAGGGAGCAGACTTTCAGAACAGAAAGTGTGGATAAATCACCTGTTAGCAGCTGCCATTCATCCTCTGTGTGTGTGTAAAAAAAAAAGCATTGGAAGCTCAGATTTCCTGTGAATCGCAGGGGCAGAACGAAGCAGACTGTCCATACAGGTGACTGGAGAGTTAAAGTGAGAAAAAGACGAGACTTGTAGCGCCTTAAATCACAATCATGGTTTCTTACAGCTCAACGTACTAAACCAGCCATCAATTTTGATCACGGAAAGTTTTTGTTCCCTTCAAAGAGAGCTTAACTCGGCAACAATAATAAATACAGTATCTGGTACGAAGTGAGTTTCCTCTTTTTTTTTAAGCTTTTCACAATCTTGATACCACAGTGTCAGCTATTTTCAGTTCTTTTTATAACCGTAGATGATTTCCTCCGTTCCGCAGCCGCTGGATTTTAATGCACACGGCTTGAAAGAACAAACAGGAAGTCCACTTCAAAATCCACTCTGTATTTAAGAATTTGACTAATTTTGCATCCTCTGAAATGCTAAGAAAATAAGAGTCGATCTTGATCCAGGTAGAATTTCTCCCCCTCCACCTAACTTCTTTGATCAAGGCACTTGGCGGATGCCGCAATCTTTTGAAATAATGAATTTGCTTATTTTACCGACGATTAAACAGGGCAGTAATCAGACTGCGGCTGAAGATGAAGCCATTACGTTTTGAACACCCGAAAGAGCAGGAGCACTCCTTCGCTCGGTGCCGTCCATCGCATCTCAACAAATCTTGTACACGGGGTCTCCAACCTGAATCACCCCAGTTTCGTCAATCCTGAAGTGGACTCCGAACAAAGCATCAGACTTATAAATGTGTTTCTCAGAAGGATCGCACTGGCGGTAGCTGCAAATACAAAAATAACAAAAATACGGATGGGTCAAACTTCTTCCAAATGCAAAATGACAACAATTTGCAATTTATATAGCGCCATTTCACACGTGGTGCGTTCCAAACTTGCCATTCACAACCCTGAACGGTGCCCTGGAAACCTGCCAATCTGATGTATTTGAAAGCATTGTTTGGGTTCACTTTTTCTATCCTGTTAATCAATCAACATACCTCAGTTAATACCCTTGGCGAAATGCGCTGTAAGGCGCTATAGCAAATGCAAGGGTTATTATTGTATTCCATTTGACTGTGGGAACCCATTTGACGTAGTATATCTAGACCGCCAAAGGACTTTTGAGAAAGTACCACTAGACAGACACCCTTATAAATAAATACTTAGCTATTTTAGTACATCATTAAAGTGATAAAACTAACCGCGAAGGAATCACCAATGAGATCATCCATTTCAGTAGCATTTCACAAGATCACAAGAGAGGCTCTCATCAAAAAGGCCTTTCAACTCATTTGATCTCATTCCCAAGCTCTGCATTGGTATCAGCGGAATCGCAAGAAAAACATCCCTTTGCACTTATGTAGGGCCATTCACACAGGATAAACATGAAATAACATTTTTGAAACATTTTATTTGCAAAAATTCAATTTAATAATAAAACATTAATATCGCAACCATAAAAAGTACTCCTGGGAATTTTGTACAATTATCGTAACGTTAGAGTTTGGGCTTAAATCCCTGGTCAACCTGGGAGCATAAAATTCTTTGGTGTCACACAGGCAGCACGGCACAAAGGAGCAATCTTTGCCACTGCAAAAGCCCAGTTATTATAGTTCTCAGATTCTGCAGTTGAACTGAGGTTCAGTTAATGTATTTTGCAGTTCCTTCTGCTGCAGAATCTCTCGTACACTAGATTTCTAGCCAATGGGTTTTCACGCTCTAACAGGTGAAGATGTTATTCTCAAATAAAACAGCCTGTTTTATTGCTCTGTTTCAATCATGACCGACCCCGTGCGTTTCCCTTGCTCCCTCGGCTCCCTCAAACATTAGCTTAAAGAGCTGTGAAACATCCCGAGCGCATTCGGAACAATCCGTGAAATGACGTGTGGTGTGCCACAACAATGCAATTACGATGGAAGTACACACACGGGTATGCATTCTCTTTACTCGGACGTAAAGAGAAAGAAAGCATGAGCACATATCACACAAGCGTTAATCCACAGGAAGACGTCTCCGCCTAACTGAAGAGCGACTTCGAATAGGAAAAAAAACAACTACTGGCATTTATATAGCCCCCTTCACATAGGCCAGTGTCCCAGAGCGCTTGACAACTGATGAGCGGGCTAGTCTTCACTTTTTCCAAACCAGCGTGCACACAATTATTGTACAATTCAGTCATACCAAAAAGGAGCCAGTGGCGGAGTTAATAGGGGCGATTGACCCCCTCTCCCCAAGGCAACCCTTTAGGTGTGAGCATGTTATGAGGAGAGGCAGCGCAGAGAGTAACGGGAAGAGGGACAGAGCAGTAGGTACGAGGCAGCACGGAGAGTGACTGGAAGGTGGTGCCACTAATGACCCACCATCTCCCATCTAGTTGAAAAACCCGGCTCCACCACTGGAAGGAGCTACAAAATCAAGCCCCATAAATGTCACGTCTCCCAAGGCTCAACGGATGCTGCTCAGACCTGCGGTGCCTTTCACTGCCACTAGATGTCTTTAATAAAGACATCTCGTTTTATAAATAACTCCAATAATGACACCTGTTGCCAACAAGTGAGTACTGCACATGTAACAGGATCGGGGACGAGCATTTCATGAGTCGAAAACAAAAACCTGCCCATCTCTCCAAACTGTGACTTAGGCGAGTGCGAGGGGAGAACGTGGTAAGAGGCAAAAGATATCCCACAGCAGCAAGATCGTGCCAAGATCCGGCTACGATCAGGAGCCAAGACAGTCAGTATGGTTACACACGGCTGTGCTCGGTCAAACTTTATATACGTTCCGTGGAGTCAAGCTCCGCCACCGTTAAGCGCTCTGAGATGCTACCCTGCGTGGAGGGCGCCAAATAACTGCAAGTTGTTGTTGTTATTTACCATAATATTATTTTTATTATTTGCCACTGGTGGCACAGGATTGTCTTCTTGGACCACGTTTTGAGCTGCAGAACTGAACGCCAGTTCATTGCATCGCTGCAGCTCTGCTCCCATTTTTTCTTCTATATCAAAGATTAATAATTAAAAATTAATCAGTCCAACATCTTTCTATTTTGACCCACAAATAGTCACTCCATTTCACAGTAAAATCCAGTACAGAGCTCTGGGACGTACTCCTGATGTGGAAGGCCCTATACTAAATGCAAGGATTATTATTATTATTGTTATTATTATTTTCCTTATTCAACCTTATTCAAATCATGCAACATTCAAGGTCACCGTGAAGTCCTCAACAGATTCACATTTGCCCAAAGATTCTGAGGCAGAATTAAAGTAATTCACCAGTCATTTTCACCAGTAATGGCCTCTCGTCATTCTAATTAACTGAACACAAAGAGTTAAAAGTATTGGCACCTCTTAAGTGTCTGTAGAGGCTCCTTCCTGCTGATGATTCCTGTGTCCGGATCCACTGTTGTGAAAATGCATCTGACAGGAAGACAAAAGGAAGGCTATTCAGGATCAGATTATTCCGCTACAGAAACAAGTCATTCAGCCCATCAGGACCGGTGCCTTTCTCCACATGATCCAGTTCAATCCCACTCTCCTACCTGTTCCCCAGACCCGTTACTATCCCATTTCAAGCGTCCTTTGAATTACCATTTTAATAATAATAATAATCCTTGCATTTGATATAGCGCTGTTCACATCGGGAGGACATCCCAAAGCGCTTCACAGAACACACTGTTAAGTAAATTAACTGTTTTTTGTGGGCGAACGCGGCAGCCAATTGCGCACAGCAATGTCCCACAAACAGTCGTAGATTGAAAATGACCAATTTATTATTAAAATAATTCACCGACTCTGGTCAACTATAGACTCTGGTCAACTGTGAGAGTCTGAGTCTAACAGCCCTGCCTTGGGCAGACTGTGGAAACCATTGATGGGCAGTGGATTAGGCCGTTGGGTTGGGGCATCAGCGCTTGTGCCACTAAGAAGTGATGTGCAAACAGCACAGCCATGAGGGAAAGGGGATATTAAACGGGAAACCTTCACCATTCGCATGATGAACAACCCCTGGCAAAGTTCAAGCATAATATTAAACTGTGGCCACCCAGCCCTGTAGACACAGATTTTATTTCTTCAAATAAAAATGATGACAATAAGAAATTGGTCACTTCAATCCATGACTATTTGAGGGGACGCTGCTGTGCGCAATTGGCTGCCGGCTTTTGCCCACAAAATATACAGTCAATTCACTTTACAGTGATACGCTTTGAGACATCTCGAAGAGACGTGATAAGGCGCTATATCAAATGGAAGGATTATTATTAACTTACCTGGTACAACCCATCACGCGAGAGAATTTCACATTCCCAATCTGTATAGCAGTCCATGTCTCCTACAAAATAAAAAAAAGGATTACTGCAATAAATACAGTCTAAGCTTATATAGGAGAAAATTTCTCCTAAGTCAAGATTCACTCTTATTTTCTTAGCTTTTCAGAGCATTCAGTATTTGACAAATTATTGAATTCAATCCTAACTTTGAAGTCAGTTCTTAAAATAATTCTCTTATGAAAATAAGGTGAGTCTAGACTCAACTAGAATTTCTACTTCGTAGTGTTTCACATGCACCAGTTTGCTCAGGGTCAGTTTCAGAGTTTAGTGCATGTACAAGACAGATGCCACATATCGATGTACTGATCTTTCTTTTGCAGCACTGACTGGACTTTAATGCACAAGTCACAAAGTTATATAATAATATAATAACCCTTGCATCTGATATAGCGCCTTATCACGTCTCGAGGCGTCTCAAAGCGCTTCACAGAATAGACTGTAAAGTGAATTGACTGTATATTTTGTGGGCGAAACGCGGCAGCCAATTGCGCACAGCAGCGTCCCCACAAACAGTCGTGGATTTAGTGACCAAATTTTTTTTTTTAAGCATTATTATTCCCAGAAAAATGATCCACCAACTTACACCTTACCAGACTACTGTTCTCTTCATTCAAATCAAAGCAATCAGAGAAGTCAATACAGGTGCTTCCTTCATACTATACTATGAATTATCCTCTAATAAATATTTCTTGGCATCTGCCTTAAACTTGCCATTCACACCACTGAACCTATGCCCTGCATAAGGTCATATTTAAACTCACTATGGTAGCAGGACTAATCTAACTAGATGTAACTGAAAGAAAGTTCAGTTTTCCAATCTATAAATGGTATTCCAAACCCACGGAGTCACAGAAAATTCCAATTCATACCAGCTCCTCAATGGCCTGGATTGGCAGAATACAATACGTGAAATTAATTGTTTAATCCCTATTATGGATCAATCCCCTCCACAGAGATAACGGACATGATATAGTGGTGAGTGTTAAATGACTTTTGTAGCAATCTGTATTGAAGTACAAAACCCAAATGGGATAGAGCATTGCTGCTCTGATGTACTACACGATAGGCAGGATAAGAGAGGGGTTTAAAACTGCATTAACTTCTCATAGTGAAATTCTGTATTATAATCTCTCATTATGTCCAGAGGTTGCACCTCCCTACCTTGAAATACTTTGTTAATGTACTAATGTGCACACAAGCAGCTGGGGGAAGAACAGCAGAAGGCAGATTGGGGAATGAATTGCGATGGAAAAGAAACAGTTCTTTTTGTTTTCTTAATTGCCGCACGCTTTGGGTAATGAGGATATTCATGGAGTTCCTCCCAGAGATAAGCCTTCACCATCTACTCGTGGAATATCAGTTCTCCTCGCGTGTGGAATTAATGATATTCCACTGTTCCTCAGAGAACTGACTGCTCCTGGCAGAGCCTATCAATGTAAAAGAAACGATTTACCTCTTTGTATGGCTCGCAGTCCTTCACTACAATGACAGGCCTGAAATTTTCCACCTTAACCTTTTTTTCCAGCCTGGTGTTAAGATCTTCCACAGATGCTTCAGACAGCAGCATGCAGGCACTAAGGTCACTATAGGCAATCTGTAGGAAGGAATAGAAACAACCAGTTTTCATCTTGCCAGATATTTAAGGACATCGAATAATACCTTGTCCTTGAGTGATGATCAAGGCAGGATCCACATCAACATTCAAAGGGAATTGGATAGATATCTGAAAACAAGTAATTTGAAGGGGTGTGGGAGGATAAGGCGGGTAAATGAGACCGAATAGATTGTTATTTTAAGCATCAGCGTAGACGCAGGGGGTTGAGTTCAGTTGTTGTGTTCACCATTAAGAACGAGATCTGTTGCTCTCTGATAAATAATAATAATAATAATAATACTTGCATTTTGTATAAGATAAAATAAAAACAGAAGTCGTTGGGAACACTACAGCAGGTCAGGCAGCATCTATGGAGGGAGGAAAGTGAGTTAACAATTCAGGTCGATGACCTTTCGTCAGATCATTGCCCTGAAACGTTAGCTCACTTTCCTCTCTCCATAGATGCTGCCTGACCTGCTGTAGTGTTCCCGGCCGCTTCTGTTTTTATTTCATATTTCCAGGATCAGCAGCATTTTGCTTACATTTTATGTTGCGCTTTTCGGATGGGGAGAACGCGAAGGATATACTGTAAACTCCAATGACTGTGTGTTATGTGGGCAAACGCAGCAGCCGATTCGCTCACTGCAAGGTCCCACAAACTGCCGGAAGCAAATGACCAATTTAATTTCATTGTTGGCCACAACCAAGAGAAATTCCCTTTGCGTTTTGATCTTTAACATCCACCTGAACAGGCAGACGGAGCCTCGATTTATCATCTCATCCCAAGAACTTCACCTCCAACAATGCGGCACATCCCCAAACACTGCATTGGAATGTCAGCTCGGATGATATGAGTTCCAAATCTTTAGATTGGGCTTTCAACCCACAACCATCTGACTCATAGGTGACCAAAGGAGCCAGGCTGACCCACAAATTCTACAGGAACTCCTTTCAGGCATGTTTCTGGCATCTGGAGGCCAGTTAGCAGCTAAACCACTTCATCTATTGTTGTAAATAGGAGCTGGATTCGAACCTTCATTTGTCACTATTAAAAGGCTTTGCTCTGAAGCAGAAGGTTCGGCCCCATCTTAACCGAACACATTCAACAGAACCAGCAAAGATCTAAAAATGAATCAAACAGACATCCTAAAGAAATCAAGCTTTAACGATGAAAACACCGAGGAGTGAAATCCTGTCATTTGAAACACACGCAAACATGACTAAGAAAAGACAACAGAGGGCAGCACATCCAATGCGCAGTACTGTGTGACTGCGATGGGACACGCACAGCCCCAATCTCAGCTGCGGTGCACAGAGTAGAGCTCACATACTTCCCAATGGATAGGAAGGAAAATTGAGAGCATAAGTCGACCTGATCCATGACCATGTAACCTCCAGTGTCCGGTCATTTCGCAGCAAAGGTACAGAACAGAGGCAGATTACTTTCCCGGCCTCTCAGCTAGGCTTGATGGGGTGCAAACCAGGAGACCAGAATGAGGACAATGGATGAGAAAATATATATTACCATGAGTATGTATTTAATGAACACAATTAAAGTAGACTATAAGTGTACAACATGCCTCAAATCTTTGGCAAATTCCACGGCCACTTTAAATTATGAATTAATTACCTGATCACTGTCCCTGAAGACTGGAGCATTATTCTTTGAACGTCTTGGTTTCATTGTGGGTTCATAGGACATCAGTCGAAATGGCTGGGTATTCTTTAAGTAAGTAGTTATCCAATCAGCAGCTTTGTCCCCGCAGTCTCGCCCTTCTATATCAGTTTGAAAAACTCTACAGAAAGCATAGGTTTTAAAAATCTCCCGAAAGTTTTGCAAAATGGGTTTTTAATCATAGATCACAGAGTCCTTTGATTGATTAAAAAAATCATTTGAGAGACGCATCCATTAATACACTGCCATTAAAACCAATGAAAGCAACAGAAAGCTTTACTCTCGGTTCACTGCCCCCATTGCGCTCCCATTAGAGGGGGATCAGCAAAGATTCTGGTCTTGCCAAAAAAAAAGAGCATTTCGTTTTTTTGAGAGTGTGGCTGTGTGACTTGCAGCATAACGCAAATTACAATAACATGTGCTCTTAATACAAATAGATGCCAAAGTCACTCAATCGAGCGCCCAGCTGAGCAAGCCTTCTATATATTTCTGACGAACAATTTGTCCAATCATTCAACACCCAGATGTCACTAAGTCGTCAGATATTGTGATTTTAGAAAACAGTTGATTTTTCTTGGCTCCACTGCACTGACCACATTAATGTCGGTCAATTTGTCTGCCAGTGATAACAATAACTATGCATTTTGCAAACTGCGAAAGAGATGCAGGTGCATTGAATATTGCACCTCAAAACTCGGGCTTTTGCTCTTGAACCCCGAACGTAGTCTTTCCCCTCCTACCCTATGCGACCTCCTAAACCCCACCAACCTGTCTGTTCCCTCCCCTGGGCAGGCATGTCACCCACCCTTCTCGCCGCACCAGCGGGTTGTACACCGTGCCTCAAATCTGCCAAATCATGCTACAGTCCGCTACGCTGCCATTCCTGTTAACACGCAACAAATCCTGGTGCTAAAACCGTTCGTAAACTCAACTGCCCGTAATGGATAGCTACAGCAGTAAGGCCTGAGAAGTCCACTGTTCGAACACAGCAACTTAAGAGTAATAAGTAGAATGAATGATGTTGTTATGAAAGAGCAGTACGAATGCGAAAGGTGATCACATACATTATTTTATGATACTGCATTGCTGTACTTGCAGTAGGGCAAAGTGATCTTACTTTTTGTCCGTGTCACCACACTCTAGCTTTGTGTAGTAACACAATCATAGCCGGCCAACCGTGTCTAGCACGGTCAAACCAGTATCAATCCAATGCAAGCCTGTAAGTCTCCAATGGGACCTGGTGCCACACTTATATCAAGTAGCGGATTAGGCGTAATCTAACTGTTGGCATCACAGTGTGGCGTGACCACGTGTCACCCAAGCATCTGACCAATGTAACTGGTGCCAATGCGAACACCATGCCAGTGTAATCTGGGAAAGATTATTGTGATAGTTGGGTTTTTTGATGAATAAAATGCCTGTGAGAATGAAAGTTTGCAGGACAGTATAATGTGTGCGCGGGTGAGATTAGACAAATCTGAATTAGACCTTCACATCTGAGCATTACAGGCACAGACTAGACCCGTCGGTTTTATCACCAGTGACTGCCTTTATGACATAAAGAAATATGAAGATCAGTGATGAGTAGTCTACCTGAGCATCTTGACAGGATTTGACTTGGGTAGTTCAAAAGGGATCCTCAGTTCTTGCATTCCTGTGGCATTAAGGCAGAGATCATCATTCTTCTTGGACACAGAGACAAGCACCAAACTGGGCTGCACTCTGCCAGTAATCATATGACAAGCTTCATCCACTATAATCCAGTGCCTAGAATATAGAAACAAAATGCTGGTTAGGAGGATCCAGGTCAATCCAAACAGCTATTCCAGCACAGCCTGTGGTCCAAAAAACCTTGAGAGAGAGTACATCAGTCTCCTTTGTACTGCTAACCATTAACGGGACACATAGTTTTTTGAAAACCTCGATCTTGTAAGGATTTCAGGTTTCCTCATCACAAGCGAGCTGTTTATCGAAAGAGATGGGAAATAGGAATAGAGTACACAGTTAAGTGGGAAGTGGAAGCCGATTCAATAACAACTTTTCAGAGAGAAGTAGACGTGTATTTGGGGAGGACAGGATTGCAGGGCTGTGGCGAGAAAGCGGGCCAGTGGGATTACGTTGGTTTGCTCCTTGCGGAGCCGGCGCAGACAGGATGGGCCGAATGGCCTCTTTCTGTGCGGTATGATTCTATGATCCTGGTTAACAGTACCCAAAGCAAACCACTGAAAGTTCCAACTGTGAGTGGGAATCTTCACTTCTGCAGAATGCACCCTTTCCCTGAAGAGACACACCCTAATCATCTCATCTCAGAAGGACAGGATTAGGCACAGGGCCAGACCCCAGAGTGCAGGTTGGGTAGTGCTGGAGCTCAGCTAAAATTGTTAAGATTGAACCTGTCAAGCCAATCAGGATGGTGAATTTTCTTTGGTGTTAGAATTTCCAAAGCAAGGATTATTAAGCAAGCAAGGACTCGTGGAGTCCTGAAGCTCAGTGGTTAGAGCACTCGCTTTGCGAGTGAGAGACCTGAGTTCAATCCCAGGCAGAGGGCCAAACCTCGGGCAAGTTTCCTTACTCCACACAGAGCCTAATAATAATCCCTCCAAAACAAAAACAATAATAAATTGGTCATTTTCAATCTACGACTGTTTGCGGGACATTGCTGTGCGCAATTGGCTGCCGCGTTCGCCCACAAATATACAGTCAATTCACTTTACAGTGTGTTCTGTGAAGCGCTTTGGGACGTCCTCCCGACGTGAAAAGCACTGTATCAAAATGCAAGGATTATTATTATTATTATTTGTTACTAAACTAGTACTTAGCACAATAACATTTCATTTAATGTTCTTAATATGTAACTAATCTTAAACTAAGCAAATAATAAACCCATGCTTTATTGACCATGACTACAGATACGTGTCCATCTTTTGCCAAACTCTGAACACAGTTTATGAAGCAATGTGTGTCTGTGTGAGGGCGGGCGGGTGGGGGGGGGGGGGGTTGTTGAATTTCTTACAGTAAACAGACTTCGGCAAAATATTTGACAGAAGTTGTAAGTAAATGTGAAAGTCAAGATCAAACTTGAACAGGGGAAGAACTTTACTATCTTCCCATTTGAATCAATGGTCCATGGGGGAGGAGTGAGGCGTTTCAATTGATCTTACAATACAAATTTAGATTCATATTGTGCCTTTCACATCAAGAGGATGGCCTGAGGTGCTTGACAACGCCCCCAAGCTGGAGGTTCTTCATTTTTTTCTTCTCAAATTATAACTTCTCAAATTATAACTTCTCCCCGCCCTTCCCCCCCTCACACAACACAACGCACACAATTCGGTTTACCGTCTATCCTGCGAAGCGCTTCAGAGATGTCTCGAAGACGTGACACGGGGCTGTGTTATTACGCAGGGGCTAATACGAAGGGTGGCGGGACCCCCTTTCGAAAAGCTTTCCTCACTCGTTAGATGCTGCCTGACCCGCTGAGTGGGTTCGCCCCCCCCAAACCCCCACACACCCCCACCCCCGGGCCACTTCTGTCTTATGTTTCTGATTTCCAGCCTCTGCGGTGTTTTTGCGTTTGGCAAAGATTATTATAATTATTATTATCAGCCAGTTGTCCGTCACCCACAGAAACCTTGCACCGTGTTTAAGAGTACCCAAACGAGACGGAGATCCAGCGTATTCATTGCCACCGACCAAAGGAAATCTCTCTGTATCTGGAACGGAGTTCCCAATCCCTCCCTGGAGAGAGACAACCCGCTCAACTAACGCCAGTCTGCTGTCAACAGCCAAGGTTTGGTGAGTCTGCAGAGGGTAGTGCCGGGGTTTAACCCACTAAAACCGCATGGCTTGTTATTGGGACCACTCTCTGGCAACCTTCCTGCCGCTCGTTCAGCGAGGACCACCCTGTCCATTAGGGTTTGGACTTGCAAGGCTAACAGGAGTGGGTTGGGACTGGCGGATCGCTTTTCCGGGGGTAATAACCCCTCCAAAAAAAAAAATAATAATTTGGTCACTCAATTCATGACTGTTGGTGGGACACTCCGGGCGCAACTGGCTGCCACGTTTCGCCCCCCACCCTCCCCACCCCTCCAAAATCCCCCCGCTCCCCCCCCTCCCCCACCCTCACACTACACAACACACACAATTCGGTTTACCGTCTATCCTGCGAAGCGCCGCAGAGACGTCTCGAAGACGTGACACGGGGCTGTGTTATTACGCAGGGGCTATTACGAAGGGTGGCGGGACCCCCTCTCGAAAAGCTTTGCTCACTCCATAGATGCTGCCTGACCCGCTGAGTGGGTTCGCCCCCACCAAACCCCCACACCCCCCCACCCCATACCCCCACCCCACCCCACCCACTGCTACCCCCCGCACCCCACCCCACCCACCGCTACCCCCCACCCCACCCACCGCTACCCCCCCACCCCACCCACCCACCGCTACCCCCCCAACCCACCCACCGCTACCCCCCCCACCCACCGCTACCCCCCCACCCCACCCACCGCTACCCCCCCAACCCACCCACCGCTACCCCCCCACCCCACCCAGCGCTACCCCCCCCCCACCCCACCCACCGCTACCCCCCCACCCACCGCTACCCCCCCCCACCCCACCCAGCGCTACCCCCCCCACCCCACCCACCGCTACCCCCCCCACCCACCGCTACCCCCCCCACCCCACCCAGCGCTACCCCCCCCCCCCCCACCCACCGCTACCCCCCACCCCACCCCACCCACCGCTACCCCCCCACCCAGCCACCGCTACCCCCCCACCCCACCCACCGCTACCCCGCTACCCCCCAACCCACCGCTACCCCCCACCCCACCCACCGCTACCCCCCCCCACCCCACCCACCGCTACCCCGCTACCCCCCACCCTCCGCTACCCCCGCCCACCCCACCCACCGCTAACCCCCCCCCACCCACCGCTACCCCCCACCCCACCCACCGCTACCCCCACCCCACCCACCGCTACCCCCCCACCCAATTATAATTATCATTATTATTATTATTGCTATTATTATTGCTGTTATTACTGCAGTACCTGTCCTTCAGAGGTCCGCTCCCGAGGCCCAGTTGGCTGCACTCCGCCAGGGTCAGGGCTGCCCCTCGGCACGACTTGACGGGGTAGATCCACAGCTGCGAGACTTCGGCTACTTTGATGAGCTGAGGGTGGGGCTGAGGGTGGGGGTGGGGGTCGGGGTCGGGGTGGGGGTCGGGGTGGGGGTCGGGGCGGAGGTGGCGCAGCAGACGGCTGCCCCCCACCGCGGCCAACCCGAGCCCCGCAGCCGCCCCGCAGCCGGCGATCAGGACCAGGGCGGTGCGTTTGGGGGTCAACAGCCCCAAAGCCTCTGTAAAGCGGTCCATTCCCTCTCCCCGCAGCCCCCCCGCAATCCGCAGCCCCCCCGCAATCCGCAGCCCCCCGCAATCCGCAGCCCCCCGCAATCCGCAGCCCCCCCGCAATCCGCAGCCCCCCGCAATCCGCAGCCCCCCCGCAATCTGCAGCCCCCGCAATCCGCAGACCCCCCGCAATCTGCAGCCCCCCCGCAATCCGCAGACCCCCCGCAATCTGCAGCCCCCCGCAATCTGCAGCCCCCCCGCAATCCGCAACCCGCCCGCGGTTGGAGACGCAGCGCAGAGCGCACAGTGCGGAGCGCACTCACAGGAGCTCCGCCAACAACAGCCAATCAAACCCACTCCCACTCCCCCTCCGCTCACTCCCCTCCGCTCACTCACTCACTCACTCACTCACTCCCCCACAGCCCTCATTCCAACGCTCACAGTGAGATGGTAAGGCAGTCAGTGAGTAAGTTAATAAGTAAGTAAGTTAGTAAGTAAAATAGTAAGTAAGGGAGTAAGGGAGTAAGACAGTAAGGGAGTAAGGGAGTAAGACAGTAAGGTAGTAAGACAGTAAGGGAGTAAGACAGTAAGGGAGTAAGACAGTAAGGGAGTAAGACAGTAAGGGAGTAAGACAGTAAGGAGTAAGACAGTAAGGGAGTAAGACAGTAAGGGAGTAAGACAGTAAGGGAGTAAGACAGTAAGGGAGTAAGACAGTAAGGGAGTAAGACAGTAAGGGAGTAAGACAGTAAGGGAGTAAGACAGTAAGGGAGTAAGACAGTAAGGGAGTAAGGAGTAAGGGAGTAAGACAGTAAGGGAGTAAGACAGTAAGGGAGTAAGGGAGTAAGACAGTAAGGGAGTAAGACAGTAAGGGAGTAAGGGAGTAAGGGAGTAAGACAGTAAGGGAGTAAGACAGTAAGGGAGTAAGACAGTAAGGTAGTAAGACAGTAAGGGAGTAAGACAGTAAGGGAGTAAGACAGTAAGGGAGTAAGACAGTAAGGGAGTAAGACAGTAAGGGAGTAAGACAGTAAGGGAGTAAGACAGTAAGGGAGTAAGACAGTAAGGGAGTAAGACAGTAAGGGAGTAAGACAGTAAGGGAGTAAGGGAGTAAGGGAGTAAGACAGTAAGGGAGTAAGACAGTAAGGGAGTAAGGGAGTAAGACAGTAAGGGAGTAAGACAGTAAGGGAGTAAGGGAGTAAGGGAGTAAGACAGTAAGGGAGTAAGACAGTAAGGGAGTAAGACAGTAAGGGAGTAAGACAGTAAGGGAGTAAGACAGTAAGGGACCGGAAAGTTTACCGGTATCTAAATCGGAGTTGGTTTCGGCGGCCAAAGTTGCACGGCTTTGGTCAGTAACGTTTCATAAAGGACCCACGGTAGATCTGATAGACTTTATGTGGAAGCTTCCCTCCCCTTACCCGCCATCAAGATCAAGACTTACCTCTGTGTTCGCAATTGGCTGCCGTGTCTCTCCCACAAAATGGCATTTTTCGGATGGCTGTTGAGAAGGAAGCATTTGATAGGAACTGCTCCACTCGACACTGCGGCTGAGATCAATAATTATTATTATTATTATTATCATTATTAAGAGCCCCCGATGGAATGGGAGAAAAGATGAAGACGGAGCCTGATGGTTCTACGACAATGCACATTATTGCTTCTCCCATCTTTCCGTTCCACCCATTTGCACCACGTTTATCATATTCTAGTTTCCTTTTTCGGGAGTCGGGGAGGAATTTTCCAGATAACGTTTTTTTCTCCCCTTTTGTCTCCCAAATTGGCCGTGGGTTTCTCTGCTCTGTTTTTGTTGCTTCCCCTATGAAGTGACCAGCGCTGGCAGAGGTGTGGGGGTGAATACTCTATGGGAGGTGGAGTGTGGAGATTCACCCAGAGATGGAACTGATGAGCCACAGAGCCTTTTTCCTATTGTCATGGGCCTCTTTGTATCTATAACTTCCCAATATATCTCAATCTTATTGCGTGGTTTTTTTTTTTCCCCTTTGAATTCAACGTTTCATAACTGTTTGCCTCAAGTAGACACGTAAACATAAACAGTAACCAATTGTGTTTAGCTTCTTCAGTTAAAGTCTTCAGGCACAAAGCGGATGTTGTTTAATGTACAATGGATCTGAACAATGTTCTCAAAAGCTAAAGACTCAGTCGTAAACACATATTTTAATAATGGAACTCGAGAGGGAAAATAAATCTCCCACTGACCCTGACAAGTAATATTTGGAGAAATCTCAAATTAGCCAACTTTACAATTTAGGGCTCTTAACTATTTTGCTGGTGACTAAATCAAAACGGAAAATAATCCTTAGTGTTTTTCTGGTCACTTGACATTAAGTTGGAGTCAATCCGCATTAAGCCATTAAGATGTTCAAAGGTTGGTTAGTTAGCACTAGCTCATTGTGCACATTGAACCCAATCATGTAGTAAATTATTACGATGTGTCTCGTGGTGCTCAATGTCTCTCTGGCAAACAAGACCTTGTTTCACATACTTTCACACCCTGAAACAAGAAAATGAAATTTGATTTAATATTTATTGTTAGCAGATTACACTGCACTGAACATTGCAGTTGCACGTGCAAGTGTTTATCCAGCTTACAACATTTTACCTGTGCACATTTGTAACATGAGAAAGGGTTTCAAATAGTCAAGTGCTGGATTAGTTTGATCAGTTTCATCAGTCAACTCCATGGGTTTGTTTTTCTCAAATATTTCCAATGATTACATTATTCATTGTTAAAGTGAAGTCGACAATTGAAAGGTTAGTTCGATGCACTCAATGTCCCATTAAAAACAAATTTCTGTTACTGCGCTCTTTCGCTAGGTAAATGGAACACCAAAACCACCGTAACTGAACTTAACATCTGGTTGACAAAACGTTCGGTTTATTTTCAATCATCGGCCACTCTATTTATTCAAATAATTGATGGCTATTTAGTTGCAACCGCGCAGTGGGGTGTTTTCATTACAACTGTTGCAGACGAGTGTACAAATGGGGAAATGTATCTGGCCTCTAACATGTAATCACGGGGCTAATTGGGGGATAATCCGATCAAATGAATAGTTCAAAGAAGTGCTGTGGATTTATTTCTGTGAGTGACTTTTAAAAAAAAAAGGTTACCTCCCGTGAAAATGATGATGCACGCCTGGGCAATCATTACATTGAATATCAAACACAAAAGTGCCTTTGTGTTTGGCGTTGTCCTCCTGTTGAAGCATCTGTTGAAATCCAAGCCCTGTTATTGTTGGTTCATGTATAACTGTTACCTGACTGGTAAACTGAGACTTAAAGTAACAGAAATCCCATTTAGGAGCGAGAGAAGGAAGAAGAGTGGGGGTGTTGGGGGGTGGGGGGGGGGGGGGCGGAGGGGCTAAACGTCTCACCACACTACTAATTCAAAATTAAACCAACATTGTATCTCCGGTGCTGGCTCTCTGGCAAAATACTTTACACAGTTCATTCAAACCACTTTCGTACAATAAATAACAAGCCAACGTGAGAAATTCTATAGGCAAAGGAAATTAATGTAGTGGCAACACAGCCACAGCAATAACACCTTTGATTAATGGATTCGGAGCAAGGTTTTTTTTTAAAAAAAAACTGCAACGAAACTTTAAATAAAGAGAAACTATTCGAGGGATTTTAAAAACATTACTATAAATTGTGATCCTTGTCCGATGTTAATATGTCACTAGTAAGTAAAATTCTGACTAACAAAACGTTTTGGGTCTGTTGTGGGCATTAAATTAGACTCAATCAATTTGGTGATTAAAATGGTCAGTGGTCGAGTAATAATTTCGCGTCAAAATGAGTCATTTTGTCTTAAACGCTGATGGGATATTGGCCTTTATCTCAAAGGGGCTGGAATATAAAGGGGTGCAAATGATGCTTCAACTACATATAATAATAATAATAATAATAATAATAATAATAATAATAATAATAATAATAATAATAATAATAATAATCCTTGCATTTGATATAGCGCTTTTCACGTCGGGAGGACGTCCCAAAGCGCTTCACAGAACACACTGTAAAGTGAATTGACTGTATATTTGTGGGCGAACGCGGCAGCCAATTGCGCACAGCAATGTCCCACAAACAGTCGTAGATTGAAAATGACCAATTTATTATTGTTTTTGGTTTTGGAGGGATTATTATTAGGCTCTGTGTGGAGTAAGGAAACTTGCCCAAGGTTTCGCCCTCTGCCTGGAATTGAACTCAGGTCTCTCACTTGCAAAGCGAGTGCTCTAACCACTGAGCTACAGGACTCCACATAGAGCCTTGGTCAGACCCCATCTGGAGACTGAGTTCAGTTTTGGGCACCCCATCTCAGGAAGGATATGTTGGCTCTGGAGGGGGTGCAACGCAGATTCACCAGAGTGACACCAGGGCTTACAGGGTTAAAGGTTGCATCAACTCGGTCTCATTCTCTTGAGCGTAGAAGGCTGAGGGGTGATCTCATTGAGGTTTTTTCAAAATAACAAAGGGATTCGATAGGGTAGATATAGAGAAACTATTTCCTCTGGTGGGGAATCCAGAACAAGGGGGAAGTATCTTCAAATTAGAGCCAGGCCATTTAGGAGGGAGATTCAGAGGCAGCGGAAATCTGGAACTCTCTCCCCCAGAAGACTGCGGATGCTGGATACATTCACATCTTCACATCTAAGGTGGATAGACCTTGGTTAAATCAGGGTATTAAGGGATCTGGGCCAAGGGGGTGTAATTGGACTTGAGGTACAGATCAGCCGTGATCTTAGGGCATGGAGGAACAGGCTCGAGGGGCTGAATGGCCTCCTCCTGTTTCTAGGCAACGAGTATCCATGATTCATAGCCTCTTGATAGAAAAGCTACATATCAAGCGCACACGCTTCCTGTGCGTTGTCAGCCGCAATGTGAGTCACGGACACGAGTGCCACTAACATCAGAAATTGCAGGGAGCGCTCTGAGATGCCGTCTGGTGTGGAGGGCGCTACATAAATCCAAGTTGTTGTTGTTGCTGTTGCTGGGAGTCCGTTTTCTGTTTATCATCATTGAAAATATTGCTTTGAGGTACATGCGAAGAGCTCCAGGACGCCACCTCCACTTGAAGGGCGCTATATAATTGCAAGTTCTTGTTGTTGTCATTGTTGTATTCATTACATTTGAACTCAAGAGTTGTCGTGATCCTTGGAGCGCTCACCGCACCTTCTTGGGTTCTCATGATTCTCGTTTGTTTTGAGGAGTGTTTCCGTACCACGCAGAGATTACATTCCTCCCATATTTCTCCCGTTCTATTGCCAATTTCACCAGAAAGAAATCGTAATCTCTAGACAGTACACAGAAATTGTACACAGCAATTCCATTTTGTTAAGTTTTCTTTCGCACGCTCACCCCTTTCACTTTCCATTATTCGGCCTTTTACTCAATTTTGCTTCATAATCTGTCTTTCACTATTTATATTTTATTACTACACTCAGCTTTTATTTTCTTGCTCATTTGTTTCCTTTTTAACTTCGCTCCTAATGCTTTCCTTCCACTCACATTTCCCCCAAAGGTCACCTTAATCATTTGTGCCTTTCTATGTGAAATGTTTAGGTGCTGTTTCCCCGGGGACAGTTCTTTTATTATTATAATAGGAAATATACATTATATGTGGGACACACTGTAACACTGTCACAGTTATACCCTGTGACTGCGTTAAATGCTTGAAGCTTTACAAATCTAATCATTTTCACATTGAAAGCATTAGTTGTGAATAAGACGCTGTATAAACCAATATTTTTCTGCAGACCCTTTCATTTTAATATTTTTGCAATCCAACGGTTTTGCGTTGAAGCAAACGATACGCAAAAAGTGTTTTTTTTAATTTCATTTCGCCTTTAATAAAGTCTGTGGCAGAAGTGTGTCACACCGGTTGCACAAAAATAAAGAGACACGAAACACAAGCACGTGCAAACTAAATCGGGCGTTGAAATTAGTGGTTATACAGTTTACAGATAAATTGTCCACACACTTCATGGCTGTTTGTGGGACACTGCTTCTGCAAATTGGCTGTGTGTTCGCCAACAAAAATACAGTCATTACAATCTACAGTAAATCCCGTGAACCCCTTTGAGATGTTGTGATCATGTGATAAGGCACTGCATCAAATACACGGATTATTATTAATGTGTATTATCGTATTACATTTCCTCAAGACGTAAGAGTTCTCAAAGATCATCATTCACTTTGGGAAACAGGGTTGTTTGTCTCAGTTCAATGCCTCTCCCTCCGTGACATAGACCAGATAGTGAATCTTTTAACTTGCACCTTCCTAACAATGTGTAGGGTAATCCCCTCACAAGCACCAGGAAACACAGCAGCAAGTAGGCTTAAAAAGGATAAGTGACGTTCCCAGAAATGCCATTCCTAACCTCCATGGTTACGGGGGAAGAATGTGAATGCTGAACTGGTAATGCAGGCTTTCAGCGCGTTGTTTTGTTTGCAACACTCACTCACACCAAAATGCTACCGAAAACCCTCATCTCCACTTTCGTGCCGCTTCCCCTCTCGAATTTGTCAAAGATCCTGTCTTGACCCACCTCCTCGCTGGTCATCCCGGCTCCGCCGTCCACAAGTCCAGCTCATCCAACACTCTGCTACCCTCATCCTCACCCCGACACCAAACTCGGCACTCCCATCACTCCAATCCACCGATTTCCCAACTCCGAACAGATTGACCTTGAGGTCCTCACACTCACGTACGAATCTCTCTATCATCTCCCGACTTATCTCTCTGACCTGCTCGCACCCCACTCTTCCGCCTGCCTTTTCACTCAGCTGACGTGCCTTCAGCCACTACCGCTGAGCATCCTGCCGCCAACTCCCCAAATCTCCCCTCCTTATGTCCCTTCAAATCTCGCTTGGAAACCTAACTCTTCAACCATGCACATGGTCACTTCTCCCATCTCTCCCTTGCTCAGCATCCAACCCGCCAACTGCGAAGCATTCCCAAGACGTTATCCTAAGTGAAGGGCGCTACATTAATGCAAGCTGTTGTTGTGCTGTCAGGTGTGCAAGTATTTTTAGCGATAGTGCAAGGGCAATTGGAAATTGGTGACTTTAACCTTAACTCTGAAGATGATTCTCAGTAGTTTCTAAAGAACTTATAGAAAAACAGCTTCAAAATTAAATGTAAAAATTTGCCAAAATTCTGGACGCTCCAAAAAAAAACATAGAGTAAAACTAGACTAAGGTGGAATTTTTCCATATAAGTACTTACTGGTTTGAGCAGACAATTTGCCAAAGGTAATTAGGTAGAAGGCTTTCAACTGTTTCTTATGCAGTTTATCTGAGCTATTAGATAGTTGCACAAAATCTACTCTTTTTTTTAAAATAGAGCCCATGTCAAGTCATACGAAGAATTCAGATTAATCAGGAGTCGCAGCATTATCGGGATGCTTGAAACCTTTTTTTTTGTTTGTTGCATAAGACTAAAGATTGACAAAAAAAATCACAAACATGACATTTGAAACTTAACAGCAACATCGAACGAGAAAATGATACTTTCAATGGAAAATAGCTTATTGGAAATGAATCCTTAAAATATTTTGATATAATAGTATGGAATGAACAAAAGCCTCCACATTTACCAAAGCCCTGAAATCAGCTGTTGGTCTTTACTTGTTAAAGAGGTAAAACACTGTGTAAGGCATTTAGAAGTTAAGCAAAGCAGCACCCAATATAAACCTTGACTTTGTCTTGCAACGAAACACTTGCATCTTAAGAATTGGACAACTGCCTGTTAATTATTGACTAAATGTATATTAAAAATTACTGACAATTCCAAAGTTTAACAAAGCATTTTGAAGACTTTGGGTGTCACACTAAATTAGGCAATCCAGCTCATTGAAGCAGAAACAATACACAATTCCCCAAAATACGCCAATTATTCCTTCAGCGCATTTCAGCAAAGGTGGTGAAAGATGTTGTGTAAGGCGACGTGTAATTCTTTGAGAATTCTTGAAGGCCGATCATGAAGTATTTCCATCCAGCACGAAGGGCTTTGCAGACATTCTGAAGTGCTGGGGTGGGCCTTGAATCTACGACACTTGACACGGAGGAAAGACTGCGGCCGCCTGAGCCAAAGACCCCGCTGGAGGTAAAAGGATTTTTTTTTTTACAGCTGGACGATCTGCGTCAGGAAGCATTTCAAAATGTTGGAGGACTTTTTTTTATTTTTGCTTTGTGTTGTCCCACAACAATAGATCTGCCCCACAAAATATACAGTCAGTTCGCTTTACAGTATAATCTGTGAAGCGCTTGGTGACGCCCCGAAGACGTGATAAGGCGCTGTATCAAATGCAAGGATTATTATTATTATTATTAACACACGGTATTCAGTATCTCACTCAGAAGGATGAAGTCAAACCATTAGAAGTTCCATTTGTTGACACAAGATGGTGGTCAGTGATCACGGTGCCTCTGGCCCTGTTGACGGCGGCTATGCTTACCAGAGCTGTTCTTCTGTTACAGTTCCTGAAAGGCCGAGACAAAAGTAGTAAATACAGCACGATTACAGGGAAGAAAATCAAAATGAAAGTCAAAAAGACAAAAGGCGATAAACAGGTAAAGTGAACTCATTGCAAAAGTTCATTTTATTCCAAGGAGAACCTCATGACGAGCGGAATTTTTTTTACTTTTAGTCTGAGATTTGATAAATAAATGCGATTGACCTGTTAAGAGAAATTATATACCTTATTCTCGGGGAGACGTGACGTTCAAGGTCTTGATTTGTGCTCTATTATTATCTGCCGCAGGTCAGTCAATTGAGCTTCAACAGTAGTACTGTGCATACGCATCCTGAGTAAAATCTGATTCTTTAGCTGACCGGAGGTGTTCGGTCTCCTCGCAGTTGTGAGGAAGCAGTTCCGATCATAATTTCGATCAAATAAAGCATTCGGAGGATGCATGTTTTCATCACTTGGCTCTCTCCGCCTCCTCCTCCTCAATCTCACTGGACAGACGCCTAATAGAATAGCGACTAAGGCAGCCAGTTTGATTCCGAATCCGGCTTCATTTTCGCAACTGCCTTATGTTTCACAAGTACCATGCATCATTGTGTGGGAATACTCAACCCCCTCACCTTGAAACCACTTCCCTTGGCCATAAGAGAGGTTTTAAGCATGGTTTACTTGACTTGCAAATTAAACATTGCTGTGCTTTTCATCAAGGCTGCTGTAAGATTTAAAGTTGACAACCTGAGACATCACAGTCCCCACTCGGTCTCCCCTACCTCCCTCCCCCCATAGCTTGCGACGTGGAACTGCACATTCTGCAACATTTATTCAGAGGCCATGTTTTCCCAGGGCTGCAAGAACAAAAATAGCACTTCTGCGCTTGTCTGCAACTAATAAACAACACGACGGAGAATTTTGGAAGAGGATATGAGAATGCCTTAATGGGATTAGTGGCTGAGTTCCTCCGTATTAATAGAAGGTGCTGCCTTCAAATTTTGAAATGCTGAAAAAGAGCGTAGACTGTTAAAGGCTTAGACTGTTTGTTGCGGTCACTAACGTGTTTTCTCATATTTCTGCTGCTTAGGAGACAGTCTAATAATAGTCCGTTTCACGAAGAGTATCCTTTTGCTTTGCGTTCTCCAAATAAATAGTGTATTTTAAAAAAAGAGATATATGGGTGTAAGTGGGTGCGAAGCATTAACATCTATCTCCCAGCTCTCTTTCACACACAGGATATTAGCAATTATTATCGGTTCCCTAAGATAATTTGAGGAAGGAGAGTGAGTGGTACAGATGCACTGAATGTGTACAGATGCTCAGTATCAAGAAGTGGCAAAAGACGTAGATTAAAATCCAAACTCCACCATCCTTCAGACCAGAACCACATACAGTGTAGTCCCTAACGGGAAGGGAATATTAGAGCAGAAGGGTCCCACCTGGTTTCTCTCTACCGCTTTCTGCCGTCTGCCGAGAGCATGCGTCCATTTTCTCAGCTTCAGGTGACCGGGCAAGATGACTGAAGAAAGGGGGATGCAAAATATGTTAAAGCAATGAAAAACAATGATAAATACTCTGCTACAAAATAACTGGGAACGGTGAGGTGGAGGGAGGGGATTATAATGAATTTTTGCAACCAAGCATCAGCCATGTAGGGAATGTTCTGAGCTGTGTCCTGAGTGTGAAATGTCTGTACTTGTACGCAAGGATTACCACTGCAGCTCTGCCCGGTGTCATCAAAAGGTTCTTTTATTTTCAATCCCACAGAGAGACCGAAATCGAGCGGAACTCCTCCAGTTCCTGAACTCTGCCATGTAGAGGCGATGAATAGTGGGATTCGTAAACCGTGAAATACAGGATCTGTCATCAGCCTGGACTTTTGCCACTGAAGACCTGTCCGTGTCTTCAATTGGAAAAACTCAGGGAAAAACCTCACAAATCCAGATCAGGTGGACGTTTCTGCTGTGGACACCGAGGAAGGTTGTGTTATTGTCTGCTTTGCTGTTGAGCTCTGACGTTGTGACCATCTGGATTGTTTGAGAAATGTATAACTCCTGTAACAGGAAGGGGACTTGAGACACCGTTTATAATGTATCCTGACTGCTTTTATCAAAGGACTTCTTTGGGAAGGAAAGCTCTTCACGTAATGACTGCGGAAAGTTGCCTGCTCGTTTTGGACAGATATTTTGATAAGGATTTTTTTTTTTTTTGTTCTGCACAGGCGATGCTCACATTCCAAACTGCTCGGAAAAATTTGAGTTGCATCGATCTTGATTAATAAAAAAAGCAGGAAATCGAGATGTAGATAGATATTGCATCATTTCGAGAAGCGTGATTTCTATAAACGTACATCACTGGATTTAAAGATCAAAGATCAAACCTTTCTGACTTGACAATCAAAGTGGGCGTAAAATTCGAGGGGTTTCGGCACGATATCCCCGGCTGTGTAAGTAAACGCGGAAAGGCAATAAAACTATCTTAAAAATAATGTCGGATACGAAGGATTCTTTAGGAAGCTGATTCTTTCAAACACAGATTGGATAGTTTTCTTTTAGGAAATAACATTATGTTCTTATGGAGGAGACCTGCAACATTCTAGTTATACGTGAAAGAATCTGTATTTGAAAAAGAAAGGTAAAAGTTGAAGCAGCAGTTTTAACGAGAGCCCAACTAGTGACTATATGGGTTGTGACTCTTTGGATATTGTGTCCTGAAGTAGGAATGAGAGAAGTTTCACTCGCTTTTAACAAAACATGGAAGATCGTGTATGAGAGATCAATTTAATGTACCTTAACGTAACTTAATGCTAAAGATATCTACAAGATCTTGCTTGAAACCTCTAGCTTCTTAATGTATGTATCCTCACCATAATCCTGCTTTGAAATGGTTCGTTCTACCTTTTTTTTCCCCCAGAAGCTGTCAGAATCCGCTACTAATTCAAGGACTAAAATTCAGAAAACTGCTCGCTCCAAACACATTCCCTATTCATCCAGGTGGTATTTAAAATACCCGTTCACGATATGTCTTTGCTGCTGATGGCTTAGCCAAAGCCACGTCGAACTGGTGATGATGATCTTGGAGCCTTGAGCATCTCCCAACAGCAGTACACAGTGAAAGTGCCGCTGAACCTGAAGGCAACAGCCATAGCTGAAGGGCTCTTACTGTCTCCTGCACCTTTGAGAACTGAATTGAGATTATTTTACTGTATTTAATCTAATCTAAGATCCTTAACCTATCCCCCCCCCCACACACACCCAACCCCCCTCCTTTCAAACAGTGTTTCTTAAAGGAAGACCCTACGTTAGACTGGGATCAATTAACTTGCTGCTTCTACTACTTTCATTGTACTGCATTCAACAATCCCAGGAACCGTAGCTTCATCCACGACCGTCAGAATCAAAGCTTCAGTTAAGATAAATAACAATGGCATATGGTAACGCATCTCAAAACCTTCACCAAGGTATGCTGTAGAGTGTGTATTGGTAGGTGAACACAACAGCCAATTTGCACACAGCAATGTCCCTTGGTTTTATACCTCATCCAAAAGGATGGCACCTCTAGCAATGCGGTGTAACCCCCAGCACTGTTTCGGAGAGTCAGCCCAGACTTGGAATTCAATCAAAGTCCCAACCAGAGTCTTGAACTCCCAACCTGATTCAGAGCTAAGAACGTTACCGATTGGAGCCAAGCAAACACACTTGATCCGGTTTTCGCTCAGCTCATCAACAAATCAGGATCGTCAGATACGCTGATCAGATTTGTTCCATTTACTTTTCTGCTTAATGTCGGCAGCACTTTTGTTTTGAGTCGACCGTGACCGCAGTGGCCAGATGGAATTGAGATTGATAACTTCAACTGGATTGATAACTCGTCAACATAATCCTTGGTCACGGGGAGGATACGAAAGTAAATTTCATTAGTTTATTCACAAATTCAATCTTCTGCTCAGAATTCTGAAATATGTACAGCTTCCACTTCGTGCAGAATATCCTCACTCTAACCATTACATTTAGCAGCATCATCTCTGCTCAATCAGGAAAGCCAGAAAAATAAAGACCCTTCAAATGTTACAAGCTTATTGTCAACATGGCAACTGTACACATTGCACACAAATGGTCATAAAGACATTATAATCATAATAATAATCTTACATCGCCGTATCACGTCGTTGCGATGTCTCAAAGCGCTTGACAGAGTAAGATTTGTTATTCCTTGAAATGCTGGGTGGGTTACGAATAATATTGGTTTGTAATATTACCGCAGAATTCCTTCCTGTTTTTGCACTCCATTCTGGGTAACATCAATTCCTCGGTGGCTTTTAATTCCCTGTGGAAACGCACTATAATTTTTTCAACAAAACAAGGACTGCGTTCATTGTGACAGCAGATGCAGTGGTACAAACTTTCAGAAGAAGACCGCTCTCTTACCAGTTGATGCAACAATTATGAGAGTGAAACAAGTAGGGATAGGGTGGGGGCATTCTCCAATTTCCTCCCCTCCCATTCTCTCCTTAGGTGCTTTGGTCCGTTTTGCTTGACTTCCATAAAATAAAGTTCAAGTGGATTCATGCGAAGTGAAGAGTTAATTAGCTTTCTTCTGTATCCCCTACTTACAGCTGCTGGCTATGTTGATTGCTAAATGCTTATCATTTAATGGCTTAAATCAGAACAACTTTGAAAGGATATTTATGTAATAAACTATACATCACTTTAATAATTGTAGCAGAGCCTTTTTTATTTATGTCTTATATTTATCTTATAAGTTACTGAGGTGCTTATAAACCTTTCACTCTTCTCCACAGGCGGCCCCCGATACACCAATGCTATATTATTCTATGAATCCTAATTCCACAATTGTCTTTGAGATCACAAGTGCAAATGTTTTTAAAGGCGCCTGTTCTGCAGGTCTACGCACACTCACTACAGTCACACTTCCAAGGTTCGTCCAATTAAAGATCAATTTAAAATTGAACAATGAATAATTCCACTACAATTCCACATGAAATAATTTCTACAGGAAAGTCACAAAAAGGTCCTGATCCATCAGCAATTTTTGGTGTTCCTGAAATCCGGTAAACTCCATAGCCGTCGGGCTGGCACATTGCATTGCTCCACGTCCTCCGATACTGTCTTGATATTACTACTAAAGGGAAAAATCCTCACTCGAGATTTAAACGTGGACAGACTGGTTGTCCGTTTCTTGGTCCACTGCCTGGTCAACTTCTTCGCCTCCTCCTCGTCTTTCATCCTTTCCATCGTCTCCTGTAGAACAGACTGAAATAACTGGGATACTTCCTTCACCTCAGGCTCATACTCGACGACCTTCTGTCGAAACCTGTATATCAATAAAACAAACTGGATTAAAGTGACTTCTGCTATCGAACTACAGTGTTTGTAACATGCAGCATAAGTAACTGTCGTGCTTTGTAACCCCAAAAGCATAGCCTGCGCTCTCCGTCTCTACTTGGGAGCCATCGCTCCGTATTTGGAGAATTAATCCGAATTCTAAAATAGCAAAAGACTTGAGACGAGTCTTAAGAAATAAGACTATTATTTCTAATTTGCTTCAGCCAATTGATGTGACGTCGGCTGATTGAGGCCGGGGCCAACGCACCCAGACAGCTACTCCTTTGCTCAGGCAGCTTCTCCACTTGTTTATCCCTATTACTGCATCATCTCAGTCACTGCTGTCACGGGCTGTGTTTTGTTCTTCGTGTTTTGTCAGGCCTGACCTCCAAACCTCTCCCTCCATTTCGAGCTCGTCTTTATCATCCTCTTCTCTAACATTGGTACCTACCGTGCTCCGAACAGGTCACAGCTCCAAGCACTCCTTCCTCCGCTGTGCTGAAATTAAGATTCATTGCCAGCCTATTTCTTTTCAAATGAACCTCGAAATTTCGGAACCTTTTACCTCTCTCAGTCTCTTCTTCCCGCAAATATGCAGCCTATAAAGTTCCCAACCCCGACGGTGTGACGGATCACAAGATTTTTTTTTAAAAGAAACACACACGTTGAGCATCACCGAAACCACCAGTTCTGAATTCATCTTTTTGTCTGCCTTGGTGTGGCCTACGTTAGGTGCCTTGCTTGGCCTTAAATCCACGGCCCTCAAAAGCGAACGCAGTGAATCGAAACGAAACCATCACTTCAACAAAGCCAAGCACATAAGTAGATGACATTTGAGGAGGAGACAGAACATTCGGTATTATTTAGTTGTGTAACACTGGGCTTTGCTGGAGCTGCTCATCAACATGAACGTTCCCTAATGGAACAATTAGATCTCTAGTGAAAAAGGATGGCTGCAGTGAGTCAGCCTGTGGTATATTTAGAATCTATGGGAGAGAAACCTCACCTGGGTCTAGAGTTACTTTATTTTCTCAGTATTTCAGAGCATCTAAGACCGATCTCTTCGGTTGCACCTTTCGGTCACCTCTCCCTCCCCTTTCTCCCTTGCCGGGTTGTCCAACCCCACCATTGTACAGCGCTCCGAGACACTATCCTACACGAAGGGCACTGTATAGATGCAAGTTGTTCCTGTCTGCAATTTGGCAAATTCTTCAATACAGTCAATCGGAATACTGGTCTGGCAATCTTAGTTATGAAGCCTTTTTTTGTTAAGTTCTAAGAGCTACAGGAAACTGACTTCAATGGTAAGACTGAAATTCAACAAATTGCCAAATTCTGCACCGCTCTGAAATGCTAAGAAAATAGAATAAATCTAGACGCTGGAGGAATTTACTCCCACATCATGCAGCGTTCACTAAAATCATCCATTGAATGTGAGGTTAATTAATGAAAAAAAACTTGCCATCGATGCATTGTAACAACATCTGGTTGCAACTACCATAACTTATTCTAAACCCTTCATTTCGCCCACAAAATATACAGTCAATTCACTTTACAGTTTATTCTGTGAAGCGCTTTGAGACGTCTCAAAGACGTGATCAGGCGCTATATCAAATGCAAGGATTAATATTATCATTTTTGCTCATGGAATTGCTTTATTTAGAATATTGGCCTTTGGCAACTTCCGAAGGACATCAAAACAATGGAGAGAGTTTATAGAAGAATGAACAGGATGATCCTGAGGCTTAAATCTCTGCTGTGTCAAAAGACTCATAGCATCCGACATCGGAATTGGAGAGAAATAAAGGGCATAAAGTGATTGTAAATCCAAGAAGGCGATAGACCTCAATGATTGGAGGACAAACCTCAAGACTGGAAGAACAGATTTAGAAATGGAGTTCCAATATTAATCAATGCTACGTCAATTCGTTTATTTGAAAAAGAGCTGAAATGAAAGTAATTATAGAAATATATGATCAAAAACTCTGTGTGAAACTACGACTCCAATCCTGCCGGGATGTCATGTTAGATGTATAACTTCCAATAACTTTGGGAATCGGGGAACTTTAACAGATTAATCTTCGAGGGAGAATTTTTTTTGTTATTCACTGCTCTCAGATTAAATCAATTGGGAAAAGCCAATGGCAAATCATTTGTTAAATAAGATGTCTTACCTCATTTTATTCTTAGAAAATGAAGACTGACACAGAACAACTGCATTTTCCATTGCAGCTTTACAAACTTTTCAGGAGAGTAATAAGGTGGTTAAACTTGTGGATTATAAAGACTGTTGATTTTATCAAACACATTAAACAAGGAATTACCAATATATAACCACTTGCTGAACCGATATACATAATCGTGGACAAAGGGTAAAGGCATTCGCTTCTCACTCTATTGCTGAAGAGAGGCGTTGCTGTAATTTTAAAATAGCTGGAAGCATTTATCTGCTTCTACTGCACTCTGACACCGGAACAGCGTTCCCTTCAAACCAGACATATGCACAAAGCAACAATTGTTAAGTCGGTGGCACTGACAAATCAGACTGACATTTTGGATAATAAGATGGGAATAGAATCATTGTTGACAGTGAAATTGAATAGTTCAGACCGACAGTTCTCGGGTAAAATCTCTCCAACCGCATAGTAAAAGCTCTTCCCTTTGTTACATTTGTAAAGAAGTCATTTAAGTTCTGTTGTTCGATAAAGTAAGTTTGATCGCTGAGATAAAAGAAGATAATTTGGTAGCAATGTGGGAAGGTGGTTTAGTTGATTTGTACCACACAGAGCTGTCTCTCAGTATCAATCTTCCAGATTTTTGTCTATTTGTATTGAGGAGCAACAAAAGATTTTAGAACTCCCATTCTGGAATCCTAACATCGAAAGAGATGTCTTATTATCGTTGTTCTTTTAGAAATTCTGGATAGGAACATTAGTCTCTCTGAAGCTCTCTGGAAAACAATAAGTGTGAATTCTTGGTTGTGTGATCCTGTCGCACTCTGGGCCAGGAGATTATATAAAACGTGCTATTTTATAATGCAGCTGATATCCCAAACCACATATAATATACTGTATAATTATTCCACTGATCCGTGAAGGAATAGAGGGCAAGCAATTTCTGACACCACAAATAGTCACAGCGTTAACAACGTCAATTATACATTAGTGGAGTCCTGTAGCTCAGTGGTTAGAGCACTCGCTTTGCAAGTGAGAGACCTGAGTTCAATTCCAGGCAGAGGGCGAAACCTTGGGCAAGTTTCCTTACTCCACACAGAGCCTAATAATATTCCCTCCAAAACCAAAAACAATAATAAATTGGTCATTTTCAATCTACGACTGTTTGTGGGACATTGCTGTGCGCAATTGGCTGCCGCGTTCGCCCACAAATATACAGTCAATTCACTTTACAGTGTGTTCTGTGAAGCGCTTTGGGACGTCCTCCCGACGTGAGAAGCGCTATATCAAATGCAAGGATTATTATTATTATTATATTATATTATTATACTGGGGGGGTGAATGGGGTTAAATTAGGAGGACACGCGGCACAAGCTTGGCTTGTATTTCCTGGAGTTCAGAAGGTTGATGGGTGATTTGATTGAGGTGTTTAAATGATAAAGGTGACTTGATAGGGCCGATACCAAGAAACAACAACACCCTCTGGTGAGGGAACCCAGAGCAAGGGGGCATAATGTGGAGTCCTGTAGCTCAGTGGTTAGAGCACTCACTTTACAAGCGAGAGACCTGAGTTCAATTCCAGGCAGAGGGCGAAACCTTGGGCAAGTTTCCTTACTCCACACAGAGCCTAATAATAATCCCCCCCCCAAAAAATAAACAATAATAAAATTGGTCATTTTCAATCTACGACTGTTTGTGGGACATTGCTGTGCGCAATTGGCTGCCGCGTTCGCCCACAAATATACAATCAATTCACTTTACAGTGTGTTCTGTGAAGCGCTTTGGGACGTCCTCCCGACGTGAAAAGCGCTATATCAAATGCAAGGATTATTATTATTATTATTATTATTATTATAATCTTAAAATTAGAAGTAGGCCATTCAGGAGTGAAACTAGCAAACACTTTTTCCACACAAAGGCTTGTACAAATCAATAATCATATTGCAGAAGACATTACCTAAGTATCACTGGTCCACAATACGAAGGGTGGATTTTGGCACAAGCTGACTCAAGTTCTAGCCTCTCCACTGGGGAGATATCATAGCTGTGTTTGGGGTAACTGACCAGCCAGCTGTAGTCCACGCCTGTTCTTATCCTCCTGTATTCATTCTCTCGCTCCCTCTGCATCTTCTCAGCTTGTTTTATCTGCCAGCTGAGCTCCATCATGAGGGTGTCCACTACCATGTCCGCTGGATTTCTTTCAGAGCACCTGTGGTAAGGTTCACTCCACTTAAACCAGGAGGCCATTGACTTTGTTCACTCTGATGGCCTTTGAATCCGAAAGCGCACAGAAAGAGGATTGAAGAACGATTCTTTAACGCAGGAATTTCACCACTGTAAAAAAATATATATGTCAAAGAATTAGATCAACTGTAGCACCTTTGTGTTTATGTTCCACCTGTCTGTGATGCCATATGAAGTAAGAGAGGGCTAAGATTGTGAATATCAGTAAAATGAGCTTGAAAAATGCTCGAAGGGGATGAGGGCGTGAATAATATGAAGAAAGTAAAGGCAGGCCAGGAATGCCAACAGGCAAAATAATCTCAAAAAACGTAGAGGCTTTTATTAAAGGCCGGAAATTTTCACCTAAAGGCCTGAAGATCATTCTGTCTAAAACTAAAATTAAAATAGTCCAAAATTGTGGAAAGTTTTAAATTCAGCCCTTAATTTGGAAGCCGGTGCCAGCCCTCTGAGACCTTCCCTTGGCCTATTTTATTATTTATTATTTGTTACTTGAATACGTTCTACCTCATAATCAAGGCACACCTAGTTCTGGCCGTCAGGGTACGAGTGTAAAGTGATCCACCATCGTTTATATGAGAAAATCTTACTTTTGAAGTGTAAATCTGGTTTGCTGAATAAATTCGGGTATCATAACACCAAAACAAATTATACCATTGGAAAAAAATGCTTCTTCTATATTACGTCTGTTATTTTCTGGATATGATAAATCCACTCTCCGTTCTCTTTGATTTCGGTGAAATCAGCTTACGCTTTCAAGTTTTCATTAATTTCCAAACATTTAAATTCTGTGAATAGAAATCTGCTTGGAGATTAATTGTACTTCAAAGGCGTGCGTCCAAGAAGAGAAAAGCAGTGGCATAAAGCTGGTTTACTACTTACCTTTTTATTTGTTATCGTTATTTTATTAAATAAAAATGAATTGATAAAAGTAAGTTGGTGGATACGGTCAGATTGTGGAACATTGCTGTGTGGAATTGGCTGCTGCATTTCGTCCACAAAATACACAGTCCAATCCACTTTAGGGTATATCCTATGAAGCACTGTGAGACATCTAAACGATGTGTTAAAACGCTGCATCAAATGCAAATGCTACTGTTGTAATCATTATTAAACTAACTGACCACGTATCTGTTGTCGCTTATGCTACGCGCAAAGCCATCAATAAGCTTCAGGGATTGTTTTTTTCTAAACGTTGCTCACCTTTTCTTTTCGAGACCCCGCCTGACACGCGATCCGAAAAGACATGGGATTGCACGTTGCATAACCGCTTAGGAAGTGCGAGAATTGGGACACGAAACGCCAAGTACGATCGCACGCGTCATGGAGGATGTGCCGGGTTCGCTTTGACACTGAGTTACAGGAAATATTATGGGGCTGTTTCTAAAATTGCTTCATGCCCTTAATATCGGAATGAAAACAGTGTGATTTTTCCTCTAACACCGGCGAGAATCCTTTCTTCTTATATATCTTGGCTCGCTGTTTTTTTTTGGTGGGGGGGAGGAGGGGGTTTCTCATCTTACAAGACTGTTGCTGTCCTAACAAGGTTAAAACAACTTTCACAGTGCAACCCCTGATGGAGAGACAATTCGCTCCGACATGACAAACCTGAACAAAAACAACCAAATAAATCATCTCTCTCTCTCTCTGTCTCTCTTTCTCTCTCTCTCTCTCTCGTTTCTTCATACCTTATTTCAAACTTCTTCCACCAGGCAATGAAGAGGCGCAGCAACAGGGATAATCTACTACTCTGCGTATTTCAAACCTGTTGGATAAAATCATAAATGTTACACTCATTCCTGAACACTCTCGACACCCTCAGGCGGAGGTGGGTTGCACGGTGAATTCCTTTGACTCCGTACCTCGTGTCTTGGGGTCAGCCGGGAGTCTGACAACTGCGGAAACCCGTCGCCGTAAGAGTAAGAATATCCGAACCGAGCGGAGATTTCCATGCATCCCACCTCCACGAGAAAATCCCAGAGATAGACGGTCGGAGCGGAATGCTCACTCTCTCCCCGGAGGGACGCAAGCCCGCTTACCTAATTCCGGAGAGTATTAGGCGCAGGTTGGCAAGAGCCAAGGCTTTAGTGTGCGTTGGGGGTGGGGGTAGGGGGGAATAATAACCCCTGGAGTCTAACCAGCTAAAAAAACAACATATAGCTCGCCATTGAGATCACTGTCTGAACCTTTTTTTTGGTGATGATGGATGTGATTAAAAAATTCAGTCGGTGGGGGAAAAAAAATACAATGCCCTGCATCAAATTATCAGTACAAGACAGGCAAAGTGCCCGTGTTCTCCGACCTTCAGGGCACAGACCCCGAGAATACAAGCGAGCGTTACAAACAACAAAGTGTCTTACTTACTGTCGCCGACACGAACCCCTCTTTTTCTTACTTTCTTCCTTTCTTTCTCTCGCTCCCTCCCGGCTGATTTCCTAGTGCAAACGGACCTCCTCACCCGCTTGAAACAAACGCCGAAGCATTGGGCTCTCCGCGGGTTAGAAATGAAATAGCTTCGGTTTAGGGCAGCGCTTCCTTTGGGTGAACAGCGCCTTCGTGTTCCAGATTGGGGTGAAACTGGAAATGGTTGGTGGGTGTTGAACTCACAGGGAAGGGGTGGGATAGAGAGAGACACACACACACACACACAGAGGGGGAGAGACACAGAGAGGGAGACACACACATACAGAGGGAGAGGGGGTCAGAGAGACACACACAGAGAGAGGGAGACACACAGAAAGGGAGCGAGAGAGAGAGAGAGAGAGAGGAGAGACGGAGACACACACAGGGAGAGAGAAGGCTCTTACTCTCGACCTGTTGCCTCAGTTTTATAATCAGGGAGGAGGATTCACTGAGGAAGCCCTGGCTCTTCCCGATTACGATTAGCAGTTGCCATAGAGACTGTCTTAAAAGCTCTTTAGACAATAAAGAGGCTGCGTCCAAAGCCAGACAGGTTTGAGCACAGCCTGTGAACAGAGAGAGAGAGAGAGAGAGAGCGCAGCCTCTACAGAGACAGAGCCCTGGTCAGTGTAGCCCAGGTATGGCGGTGCATAGAGTTTAGAGCAATCCCACACGCTCCCACCCAGTCAGTCAATTGATGACCTCCAGAGTTGGACCAGCGCGAACAAACCGCTTAAACCCCTCCGCCGACACTTTCCCTCTGCGCTCGTGTTTCTCTCCTACAGGATCGAAGGTGCGGCAGGTTTCCCTTTTGATTGGCTTCTCATTTTCATTCTGATAGGAGTCCCTCGAGAGAGAGAGAGGAGGAGAAACAATAATAAATCGGTCGCCTCAATCCACGGCTGTTTGCGGGGACGCGCGCTGCCGGGCGCAATTGGCTGCCGCGTTTCGCCCACGAAATACACAGTCGCTGCACTTTACAGCGTATCCCGTGAAGCGCTTTGAGACGTCTCGAAGACGCGAAGGGGCGCAGGGTCAAAGGCAAGGATTATTATTATTATATTATTTTCGAACGTAATTGCGCAACCCATCAAAAAATGGCAAACTGATGACCCGAGTGAGGAGAAAGGGGTACAATAAACACCCAGAGACTTGACTTGGACTACACTGCCCTCTCTCTCTCTCTCTCTCCTGTTAGCTCTAATATTTCACCTTTTACTTTTCTCGCAGCTGCAGGCGATTCCGTTCCTTTCGTACTTCCCTTTTTCTTTTTCTGGTATCTCCACCTTCGCTTTGATTATTTAATCGGTGTTGTTAAGAAAACGAGATGACTTAAATATCTCCCCCTAAGTTCCCTTGTCCCGGTGAACAAAAAAAAAGGCATTCACTTCATGGCTGCTTGTGGGACTGTGCTGTGCGCAAATTGCTGACTGCCTTTGACTACGCAATATGCAGTCACTCTACTTTGCAATAAATCTTGTGAGGCACTTTGAAACATTTCAATGATATAGAATAATAATATATTATTATCTTTTCCTTTATTGTTTTCCATTTCGGTTCTCGCCTTTACTTCTTTATGTCGTACCCAATCGTGCTTTCTGTGTGTTTTCCCTTTAGATTCCTTCCTTTGCCTTTCCTCCACGTATCACTGTCCTCGATGAATTATGCTGTCAGTACATCTTACTACGAATGCCTTCGTGCCGTGACTTTTACATTTGATGCAAAATGGTGAATCTGAGTTGCTTCTTGTAGTGGTTTAAACCTCTGTCGAGACAATGCCAGATCCTTCTTTATTTAGCTTCAAGGGATCGGAGGAGCTTGGCCCAAAGCCCTCTCTGGATTGATTACTTAAAGTTAATATCTTCGGCTAAAGAGCGTGCAGACTTCCTGCCCTGCTCAGCAGATCAATGCTCACAAACAAATACTTAACAAAAATAAGAACTTGGAGTCAACGTAAAGGCCTAAAAGTTTACGAAACAAAAAATCTTTGTCCCAGGTTGTCAGCGCTAGGAACGTCTAAAGAACAAACCGTTTACCTGGAGCAGTGTGGCTTCAACACCTGCTGGTTTACCCCCATCATAAACAAGGTAACACTGAAAAACTCAGCCCTTAATCTCTCATGGCTCATGTCCAGTTTCGTAGCTGCAAATTAATGTTATAATACACGACCCTTTGAATTGTGCTCAATGGTCTGATTGATTCAACATGCAGTGCTGAATAAATTGTTTAATAGTTTGTTGTTTGCTTTTAATGCCTCAGTTCGTTCCCCCGTGTGTATAAGAAGCCGAAGCAGGTGACAATGAATCTCCTGACAGGTGCTATTCCCATTTGCACCCTCGGCTTGTGTAATCATCTCGATACCAGATGCACTCTTTGTGAATTTTCTTGTATATAAAGAGAGCAAATGGAGCTATCACTCTACACGTCCGCTCGTCTCTACCTCACGTTATGTTCTCTCAGAGACGAACCAACAAAAATAGTAGCGTCGGACAACAATGAATTTCTCAGCTTTCCGCTCACACCTTGAAATCAGAGGTGTTGGAATCTGAGCGGTCAGTGTGTGTGTTATTCCAGTCCTACCGTGAAAGCCCTTACTTGACAAGTGCGTGGCTGCTGTTCCAAATCTTCCAATAATTACCAAATCCAAATTGCTCTTGGTGTGCACACAATCGAAGGAGATTTCCATACCAAAATAATAGTCAAACCATCTCAGTGCCAATGTCTGTCCGTCCAAATTCTCTCGTAATTGACACTTATGAGGATGGCTGGAATTTAATAATAGTAATAATCCTAATAATAATCCTTGCATTTGACATAGCGCCTGATCATGTATTCAAGACGTCTCCAAGCGCTTCACAGAATAAACTAAAGTAAAGTAAATTGACTGTACATTTTGTGGCCGAAATGCGGCAGCCAACAGCGCACAGCAGCGTCCCCACAAACAGCCGTGGATGGAGTGACCAAATTATTATTATTTTTTTGAAGGGATTATTACCCCGGAAAAGTGATCTGCCAAGCGACTCATAGTTGTTGCTCTTTGGATATAATTTGGAGCCTGGTAGGATTTTGGCAGCGGCCTCCATGGCAAGTCAAAGTTACCATTTGCAAAGCATTTGAGTTTGTTATATGTGACAGGAAAATTGATCTCCCATTTCTCAACATCTGGGCAGCATAAAACCTGTAATAGCGCTTGGACGGAAATGTTAACCAAGTCAGATAAACACTGTAACTGGTATTCAGATGCTTTATCCGGTACTTACTTCCCGGGAGTATGATTGGCGTTTGTGGAAGTACTTTCTGGTTTGAGTGCTGTATGAAAGCGGTAGTGCCCCAGTAAACACCTAACCATTACCCATGTCACCAGTGTAATTACTTTCACATGTTACCATCTGCAGAGCATTTACGTTTGTTACATGTGACAGTAAAATAGATCTCGACTGTGACCAGATTGTCAGGGCTGACAGTAAACAAGGGCAAAATCAGACACCACCACCACCAACAAATTATATTTATATTCATACTTATATAGCGCCTTTCATATCAGGATGACATCCCCCGCAGCTCCCATCACCTCCTCGGCTGCCAAGTCAGGACTGTCAAGTGCCTTGGGACGTCTTCTCGAAGTGAAAGGAGCTATATAACTGTAAATTTGTTGTTGTTGCATCTGCGAGACGGAGATATTGCAGTATCTCCCTCTTGCAGAACGTTTCGCCCACAGAATACACAGCCAATTCACTTTACAGTATATTCCGTCAAGCGCTTTGAGGCGTCTCGAAGACGTGATCAGGCGCTACATCAAATGCAAGGATTATCATTATCATTATCATTATTATTATTATTACAGCATTGAAAATATCCTGTTGCGATTTCCTGTCTTTACCCAGAAGACCTAATTACGTGTGAGGCGCAGGTTGGCAATGGGGCGAAGCTTGGGAACCCCCAGAGTGTGCGTTGGGGTACTGCTGGAATTTCCCACCTCCACCTGCAGAGTTTGCTATTATAAGCACTATCTGACGCTCCATTTCCAAACGTGTCGCTTTGGAGACAATTCAGCTCCGAGGATTCTCTACTTACCTCCCCCAGGCACTTCCAAAGAAGTGAGCAAAACAACTATGTGGACGCTTCATTAATGCCACCTGAAGACCCCTTTAATAGTAATTTCACAGCCCAGTCACGTTTACATCACCGGCTAAGAGCCAATTTTTTTTTTTTTAAAAATCAGGTCAAAGCCGGTGATATAATAATAGTAAATAATGATAATAATAATAAGCAAAGAAGTCGAGCTATTCAGCCCATCGTGTCGGTGCTGGCTCCCTGAAGAGCAATCCTTCCAGTCACATCTACCTGCCTTTTCCTCAAACCCCTGGAGCTGATCCTTTTTTTTTAAGGTCATTTCTGGTTCCCTCTTGTAAGATCCAATTTGGAATCTGAATCCACATGGATTCTGCCTAAACCACTGCTCCCTGGCAGGGCATTCCACATCCAAACCACCCCGGACTTGAGAGAAAATTTCTCCTAACCTTTCATCCGCTTGTTCACTATCTTAAACTGATGATCTGTATTTACCGACTCGCCTGCACTCAATGCTCTTACATAAAAGCCTAGCGACGCAGTCTATTTCGGATTATCATTTAGTCCCTGTACTCAGTCCGCCTCTTTGCTTCTATCGCTCTTGGTGTTGAACTAATTTTAGTTTAAAAAAAGAACCAGGCGCGTTTAATTAAAAAAAAAGCCAGAGGGAAATAAAAAAAAAACATCGTTTGAACCAGGACTGAACCGAAGCTATTTGCAAATCAATATTTCAAAGCGGTTCCTGTTACAGTGCAAGGGAGGAGGAACAATGCTGCCAATCATCATCACATATTAATCACAGGGAGCACTATCTGTAATTTAACAGTAGCTGCCTCGCTTGATTAAATTCACTCGGATGAACAGCTGTAGTGGAAATCCACACATTCTGACCCACTGTCTGAGCACAAGGTCAGC